CCAAATTATCACGGATGAGAGTAGTCTAAGTAATACATACAAGAAATTTATGAATTTTGTTGAAGCAATATAGAAAGAGTTTTTAAGATTAACCATACACCAACCCTACTTATTAGATCCAAATATCTCAATGAAAGCATTTATATAATCTTCTTTTGTTTCATTTCTTTTAACTGGATTCAAGATTAAATATCTACTATTTAAGCTTTCATGTTTTAGATTTCAGTTATTGAAATAACTAATATTGTACATTATATGAGAGACTCGTAGACACAACATCAACCATATATATTGTAAAAGAGTAGTGTATATAGTTAATTTTATTTTATAGAACTTGTTTTCATAAGTAAAAATTTGGGTGTGTGTTTTAAGTTTATAATTAAATAAAAACTTTTGTTATCTTTTTTGTTATAAGTAAAAGCTCATTAAATGTTGCCATTAACAGTATATTCCATAACCATCGATTTTATTAAGCTAACAATGAGCTAGACAAAACAAACAAATTACATCAAAGAAATAACAAGTTTTGCAACCAACATACACACTTAATGTTGTGCCCTTGATAAAACTTTCTTTTTACAATGATTCCTGCCAAACAACAAGGAATCCCTAAACAACCTAACATACCACCATGTGGTGTAAAAAGCTACTTCAAAATGTTTCTTGTGTGCCTTCTATAATCTCAGAGAAACTAGCATAACTGATCATCATAAAAAACTAATAACATACAATATTACAATGTAACAGATATCATGATTTAAAATTATTAACAGATTTGCAACATTATAAAGAAGTCATCAAGTATGCAAACTATTATATGATGTTGATTAGATATCTCATCAGCAAAACCTTGTTCGTACAATTGTGTTCTTGTTTTCCATTAAATGTCGTGATCTCGAGACCTGCAACGATATTTACCCACGTATATCAAAAACAAATATCACATATTTGAATTATAATTAGTAACATAACTAGTAGATTGACTTTTCTATCATTTTATACATAGTACACAAACGGCTTATTATACTTGATAAAAAGTATAAGAAACACTAAACTATGGCCAAGGGTATGATTTTATATAATTTTCTATTGTCTTTTTACAATGCAACTGGATATTTGATGCATTTGTAACCAAAACATTAGACAAATCAAAAAATGGCAGTATGAAGAGAAATCACTATAACATTTAACATCATCCGTATATTATGAGTCCTGCATATGACAATATAAGTCAAAATTTGTCATCTTTTGTTAGTAATTCTTAAAAATGTGAATAAATAATAAGGAACTTCAAAATTTTTCATTGATCAAAAAATCTGGTGTGCCTTAGATTAACTTGAATCTGATCTAAATATTCTTTTGGGATGATTACTAAGGCAAGTTATGAGAATTAGATTCATCATTTACATAATTGTAATCTACATCATCTAGAATTTATGATGATTAGGCCTTTAGGGTTTATGTGTATACGGCGACTTCAATCTGAGGGCAAAATTGTCATACTTTTTTTTAATATGTTAAAATTGGGCCATTTCAGCAGAGATTTACTTAACCAGCCTTATTTAGTTTAATGTCTTTTCTTGTAGCCATTTAACTGAAAACATA